AATAAAAAATTTCATTTTTTTTGTAAAAAATCAAAGGAATATAACAATATATAAAGAAAGTATTTATAAAATCGAAAATCCAAAAAATATTGTGTTATCCATATTATTTAAGATAATGATAATACTAATAATATAAAAAAATCATTATGTAACGCATCATCATTTTATAATATTGAAATGAATGAGAAAAATTCATTTCTGAAAGACAACTTTAATAATTTAAAATTTAGAAGTATATAGATTTATTATTTACAAAAAATTAATTTGTTATATATAAAAAAGAAATATCATTTTAACGCTATAAGTTTTGAAGGAAATAATATTAAATCATTTCTGAAATACAACTTTAATAATTTAAAATTTAGAAGTATATAGATTTATTATTTACAAAACAATTAATTTGTTATATATATTAAAGAAATATCATTTTAACGCTATAAGTTTTGAAGGAAATAATATTAAAATTACCAAATAACGAAAAATATTAAAAGATAAAAAGAGTTTCCGTTGCGGGGACTCGAACCCGGGTCTCTCGGGTGAGAGCCGAGTATCCTAACCAACTAGACTACAACGGATATTATTCAAAGTGGCATTGGTTTATATATAATATGAGTAGCTTGCGGCATCCCAGCCCAGATCAAATATTACCGAAGGCATCTTTCACAGGAGAGTCACCTCCGAGAGCAGAAGGCGGCGACGAGTCGTAATGAAGGCCGCGGGCGGACAAAACGCGAAGGACACGCTGGATCTGGCATTCCAGATATCAAATGTGCTCGATACTGGGCTCGACCGCCACACTCTCTCGCTTCTCATCGCTCTCCTTGACCGCGGCATCAATCCAGAGCCCCTTTCCGCCCTCATCCGTGAGCTTTCATCGCCGCCTACGCAATCCCATCCCTCTTCCAACTCTTCATCTGTCGCCAAACCCTAGAGTCCGGTTTGTATTGTTTTTCGATTTATGAGCTTCTCTAGATGAAAGGAAAAGTGCTTAAATATTGGATTTTGTGAGCCGTTTTGTGTTGTTTTCTGGATTGTAATGCAGTTGCTGTTGTGTGGTTATTTGTGCCCTTTTCTGAACTCTTTTTTTTTTTCCTGCTGGAATCTCTTTTGTTATTTGGAATTGGTTTGTGAAGGTTTCGAATTAGGGTTCAGTAATAATGGATGATGGCTGTTTGGTCCACTGACATCTGTAATTAACCATGTTATAAATAAATTTATGGTTCCATTGCAATGACATTTAAATGTTAAAATCGAAGGACATCTAGGTTTTATGCTTTATGGCGACTAAAACAAATGAAGATTAAAAAAAACATCATATACGTCGTTCTTTTGTTAGATAATATTACACTATTTAAGGAACCAAATATATTGCATTTGATAGATTACAATGTTATCTTGATAACATGATTATCTACATAAAATTGAACCAACCAATCTTTTCTTTTTACTCATTTCTTTTGTGGAATTCAAAATTATTGCATTTGAATTCGTTTCGTGCTTTGTAGAATACTTGGTAATTTAATTAGCAACAAACCAAAATACGTGTTTGAATCTTATTTCTTATAAGGATAATTCTTGAATCATGCCACCTGTATACTATCTCCAATGTAATTCTAGTTTTTGTTCTCGTAAATCATGTGTTAAAGAATTAAGTTGGATGAAGTTTTACTCCTGTCCTAAATATTTTGCAATCAATTCGTTGTTGAAATGATGAGACACATCATGCACTCATCTTTTTTTATTTGTGCTTGAAACCATCAATGGTGCTGCCAGTTTTTGTGGGCTAAGAATTTATTTGTATATGAAGCTCTCCCTCATATAGGATTTGGGGAGGAGTTCATATATGCAGTTGTGCCGCTTAAATGTTGTTTCCATGACACAAATTCTAAACCTCCATGTTGCGATGGAGGCAACTAAGCCATTATTCACTGTTCCCCCATTTTTAAAAATTAAATTAAAATACTTTTTTTATTTAATTTAAGTTATTATCATAATGAGATATTCAAGTCATGAAAATTTTAGTTGAAAGAAAAAAAAATGGTATATTTTATTTTTCAATCAATATTCATGCACCTTATGTCATTATTTGCTTTATTTATATCCCCATTTAATATTCATGTTTGTTGAGTTTGTTGGATGAGGTTTTAGTCCTATTTGTAGGTCTTTTTATTTAACTTCTATCCAATATTCCCCTTGATCTATCCCATTTATATTCTAATCCTTCGACTTTATCAATTTATGCATCTTCTTGGTGCATCTTTAATTATTTTTTAATCTCTGATTTGAGCTCTTTCATGAAGCTCCCTTGTAACACTGTCTCAGAAAGCCAATCCAATCAGCTAATAAGGAACTCAACCTCTCACGATACTTTACTTCCAATCCCTTCTGTGTCAGGGCAAAAAATTGCTCTTGGAAGTCCCCTCACATGCTGGTTCAGAAACATTCCAACAAATAGTCCTTGAACTCCCTCCAACTTTATATGGTTCGTCTCATGTCCCTCCACTAGTACCATGCCAAAGCCTTCCATTTTAGACATAGGCTAGCTGCCGTCAATCTCTCCTCCTCCATCAACCCATTAACGGTAAAATTCCTCTCCACCTTGTAGATTCATCCATGTGCATCCTCTCTCTCAAAAATATACATCTTCAGCTTCCTGTTAGGAAATACCAAGAAATTCCCTACCGAATTCAGAGAAAACAGCCCCCCTGGCAAGCCGATTTGGAGGAAAAGATAGAGAATCACACGCACAACAACTTCATTTGATGAAAGAAGAACAAACTCAAGCATGATATAGTTGGATCTTCAATTGGATAGGAAGATCCGGCTCTCCCTACTCTCTAGACGACACTAGGGCCCTCACAAGAAACAAGAACAACAAACTACAACAAAAATCTAGATAAAAATCTCACTTAGCCCCCAAAACCTACTTAAACATACAATCTCTAGGTAAATCCCAAAACAACCCATTCTATTTGAATTTTCCCTCCTAAAACTCTCATAATTTTCCTTAATTAAGCTAGTGGACCCCACTTGGATGGGGTGGCAGGCATAGGGGGCGGAACATGCCTGTTCCGCTTCTGATATTAGTGAACCAATTTTGTTTGGACCGGTCTATCACTTCCTCACCCTCGGATCGCCTCCGTTTCCCCTAAATCCTCCGTAACCAAACATCCCAAGAATTGGTGGACCTTCCCAAGTGTCCCGATCCTCCCTTCTGTGCTCATACTCAAACCTTTCTTCCAAATCCTCCCTTCTCCACTTCTTTCCATATCATCACCTCTTCGCTCAAAATTAGGCCCCCTTCTTGCAAAATTAGCTCCCATTCATTCAAACCTACTACTCATCTCCTTCCTAGAAGTAGGTTCTAGGGGAGGCATCCCATCTTCTACCCCAAAAATTTCTACCTCTTGATTTTCCCTCTCCTTATTGGATTTGGGTTTCTACAACTTCCTTGACCTTTGGCAGCTTCCTTCTCCTCCAATGGCATCGTCTTGGGTTGAGCTTCAATTGACTTCTTCAAGATTTCTTCCACAACGACAAACTTCTCATCTATCTTTTCGTGGACGACTAAAAATTGATTTTCAAATTTAGAAATCTTCTCCACAAAATCTGATTTTAATGGTCTCATCTCGCCTTCCAATACTTCCACTTTGCTCCCGACCATAGGTACCACTAATCGACACTCTAATACCAATTTAATAGGAAACACTTGTAGAAATCAAGAATTCCCCCTGTTGAAATTAAATTTCAGCAATTTGCAAAAACTAATTTGAGAAGAAACTTGGAAGAAAAATCACAAATAAACCTTTTTAATGAATAATAGTCGAAGAAAAACATAAGATACAATGGATTTTCTATTGGAGAGAAAGTTCCGGGTTTCTCAAATCTCTAGACATCGCTAAAGCCCAAACAAGAACTAAGAACTAGAAAATTTCAGCCAAAAATATAGATAAAAACAAATCCTAGGAGTAATTCCCTCTTAAACAAGCATTAATTCCTTCCAAACTGCCCCATTCTATTTGAAATTTTCCTCCTAAATACTCTCCTAATTCCCCCCAATTAAACTTTTGGACCCAACTATCAAGGGGTAGCATTGATGGAGGTGGAACTTTCCCTGTTCTGCCTCCGCCTCCTGTAAACTTGGACCGGTATATATAATGTTGCCTAATGTTTGATACCAAATATTAGTCACTACAGCCAAAATTATTGTAGCTCCCATTGTTATGACATTTGTGGTGTTGTGGAGTGTACTTGTTTTATTTCCTCGAGATGGTTACTTTTGTTACCTTTTAGATATCAGCATTGAATGTGACATTTTATTCTTATGTTGCAAGCTGTCTTATAGAGATCAAATTTCTTCTTAGACCCGGAATGTTTCTGACCTTACTTAGCTTGTTCCATGTTACTCCATTTATAGTTTAGGGTAAGACATTATCGATGCCCATTATGTCTAATAATCATCAGTAAGAAATATTTTTCCATAGCTGTCCGTAAAGTAATTTATCATTAGTTTTTTATAAAAAAAAATTGAAATAATGCGCCTAAGTCTAATATCCATGATTTCATAGGACTATTATCTTTGAGGATCAATTTATCTTGAATTTCTTTGATAGCAATAATCACATTTCTTCTTTTTTGCTTATGCCAGGGATCATACTTGCTTTTGTATCAACCTTTCGTCATATATCCTGGCTTTTCAAAGTGTCAACATTTACTCAGGCGACCTCAGGATATGCTCATATGCTTTTATTAGATAAATATGTTAGCTTTTATTTTATGATTTCCATTTATCGATTCCTTCGTGAATGTTTTTCTTTTGATGCATGTTTTTGTTATCAATATTTAAAATAGAAGGAATTTCGCCTGTCTCGTGTTGTCAAATATGTATCTTCTCTAAGGATGAAGTCACTAACATCATTAATTTCATTTTGTTTGATCTATAAGAGTTGCTGAAGATTATTGCTAAATCGTTTCATATATTTGGGAGCGATGAAAGTAGCCTTAAGGTACAAATTTCATCATCAAAGATGATGTTCACAGAGCTCAATTGAATTGTGATCAAATTGAACAATATAGTCTCTTTTAGACATCCTGAGGTTAAAAAATATATGCATTAGATGTACCTTATCAACCACAGAGGGCTTTTCATACATTTCTATTTATGTTGTTGTCATCACGCTTGCTGTGGACTTCTTACTGAAAATATTAAAGATAATTTTCTTATGTAGGAATGGGCTAATAACTGTGTTTTGCAAGTTCATCAAGTTCCACTTTTCTTCATCAATTGTAGACGACTTTGATCATTTCTATAACTGATTGAAGCCTTTTTTTGTGATAAAATAATATCTTGTTCGCATCTTCCAATAGCCAAAGTTTTGACAATCAATTTATTGATCTTGAACTTCTCGTATTTCATTGCTCCTCAAGTTTTTGTGTTCTTTACCAAAAGCTTTAACACCAATTGTTAGAATAGAGATAAGAGAGCAAAATTAAATAAAGACAAAGAATGAACACACCAAAGATCATAATCACATGACACAAGTTTGTGTTTTGGTAATATTCGCCAACGTATAAGGTTAAATATTTAACTAATCTTTAAAAAAAGAGTACATTAAATATTTCTTTTGTACTTAAAAAGATGATGATAAAGATACCATTTTCTCTATGTTAATGATCAAGAGAAAATGCAACCAGCTGCTATAAAAATAAGGGACGTGAAGAAGATGTTATTAGATAGGATGGTAGGCATTAAGTTTATAGGAGTTAGAGTGTGATAGGTAGAAGCTTATAAGAGTTGGATAGATACAATTTCATCTTCTTATCTCAACTAGTTTCTCTCCTCGCAAAGTTTGTGTTGACTTTGTGTCCTTTTCTACTCTCGTTGAAATTGGTAAGAGCATTATTATGCAATATATTATTTTAGTATATTGTGATTTTGTAATAACTTTTTAAGGACAACTAGTGTTCTTATAAGGTGTATATATTATATTAAACAAATTAGGAAGTAAATCTACAATTATTAGGAGGTTGCAGATACATCTTTCCAATTTCCTTTTCTTGGTCTGTCAAATAAAGTTGGATAGCTAAAATGTGTAGGAGAGTTGTCCGTTCAGGTTAAAGCCTGGACTACTGTATTTGAAAAGTCAAGCTGAAAGAAAAATCAGATTTGCTCCATTGCTTTATCTTTTTCAACATGGTATTATAGGGGATGAACTTTACATAAATCCTTCGATGGAAATTGACGAATGGCCAATAGGAAGGATAGCTCAATGATGACAAGTTACCTCTCACATGTGCAATTGATTCACCAACTAATCAGTGGGAATGAGGTCCTATACTCCAAATCACAGAACATAAACTCAACTACTAAAACTACATCTAATAGTCTCAATCAATCGTGATCTATGATGTATGGACACGGACACGGTGACACGACACAGACACAGGACATGGTTTTTTTTTTCAAATATAAGTCATGGGTACGACGCCGACACAACATTACATTTTTTTTATAGTGTATAGATATTAATGTAATATCATATTAGAAATGACAAACAATAATAAATGAATGGCATGATAACTTGTCTAGCTTATAATATAAAATGTTTAATACAAAATGTGTAGCACAACCACAAAAATATAAGCAAATAACCATTTACTACAACATCAAGCATTCATGCTTCAACTATTAGGATTAGTTTTAGAGGTTTGTTTTTGGCCTTCAATATCATCATCATTAAATATCATTGCTTTCAACTCTGGTTCATCAAGAGAAAGATTTGTAATAGTTCATTGGATATCATATAATGAAAGTTGGTTCTTCTTTGTATCAATTTACTTCTCTAGTTAGCTAGTTCTCTCCCATAATATTTCTTTAACCTCTAATCTAAATCACAAAGATTGTATCTATTTACTTCTATACTTTTCTAGTTCTCTAGTTTTCTCCCATAATAGTTCATTGGATATCATATATTAATATTTATTTTATTAATCTTAAATCTTTTATATTCTAAATATTTTCTATATCATTCTAACTTTTCACCTATTTCAATAAATCCCATCAACTAGAATTACAATAAGGCATGCATATAAAGATCTTCCAGACATAATCAATATTATTCTTATTCCATGTCACTAAAAATCGCAAACACAGAAAAGCATAAATGTTTTCAATAATCATTACTGCCTCTCAAAAAAAAAAAAAAAAGATTTATTCTCTAATATTCAGGCCTTTCAATAATCGTATTGATGCATATATGGGCAAATGTGATGTTTATTTGATTTACTAAATATAAAAATATAAAAAGTTATAATTTAAAATAATTTTATCATAAAAAATTAGGACATGTGTGTCCAATCCGTGTCAGGTTAAATTTAAACAATATTTTATTCGAACACGTGTTTGCCGTGTCCAACATGTGTGTCGGGCACGTGCCAGACATTGCGTTCTCTCTTCAAGCGGTGTGTGAGTGCATCATAGGTCATGATCTATGTATGCTAGAGAGGGAAGGAATATTATCTCACCAGGTCCTCTATTCCTCCGAATGCCGAAGATCCACAATTGAAGACCTGAATTTTAGAGAACAACATGATAATGTCATGGGAGAACTTCTTGTACTATAAAATTACATGAGAACAATAACGCAGCAAAATAAACCTACTCCAGCAAAGTCAATACCTTCACTACCTTGATTGCCAGCGAAGATAAAATGAACTTTATGGATGCTCATTATTGTCTTCTGTTCCATTTAGAATCTCCCGCATGTTTTGGACTCTGAAGATCCTTCTCCATTGAGTGATTATTTTGTTCCCACTTAGGACTTGAAGCTTTAGCATCTGGCATCTCCTCAACTTGTCCGGAGAAAATGGTTCGAACTTGGTGATTTTATTCTTTGGCGTGCATTTCAATTTTGTTTTCCCGGAACCTTACTTTGACATCCATGATGCCTTTATGCTTCTTACTATATGAATAGCATCTGCGTGAGGAAGACAGATTCGTCCGTGGCCAAGTGCATCTCTTTGGGTAAAGCTCCAATTTTGGCTAAACCTGGAATGGTTGATTCATGGAACCTAAACACTCTAAAGGTGATAATCTATTCTTGATTGGTTATTTTACATCTTTGCAGTTCACACCTAATATGTTTTTTGTTCACAAAAGCTTAGCTAAGCAAGCAAAAGTCACTCCAAGTGGTCAGAAATACGTACCTTCTACTAATTTGTTCAGTCATGTCACTAGATTTTAAGGCTTAGGATTCGCTTGGTTATACTACGCACCTATTTAGTTTTTTCTTTAAAAAGTTCTGTTTTATAAGAATAATATGTTTATAAAATTACCATTTTACATTGTAGATTATTTATGATTTAAGGAGTATATTAACTAATTTATGAGTGACTTGTACTTTATGTGAGAGTATAATAATTTTATCTTTGTTTTCCCAAACAATACTACAACAAACAACAACAACAACAACATCATCAAACTTTTATTCCATTACGTGGGGTCAACTACATGAATCCCTTTCCCAAACAATACTACAAAAACACAAAAATAGCACAACTAAATTATATAGAATCTCATTCTTTTAAGTGTTAAAAGAAGAAAAAAAAAAGTGTTAGATTTGTAAACATTCATGATCTTATTGGCATATATGTAATTCTCCCTTTTATTATTCTGATTAGCAAAAACTTTGACATAATAAATTTGATCTTTGTGAGAAACGTGCATAGGGGTGGACCTAGCCTTAATTTTACGCGGGGGAGTTGAAGTTGGCTCGACTCTTATTTGTTCATATCTATAATCATTGTACGCTTTGCAGATATGTCAGGGATCCATGGGTTTGACCTGAAGTGGACCAAATTTTTGTTGTAAGGATATTTTTGAATTTTCTTTACTATTTCTCTTTGTATTTGGTTTATCGTTTCCTAACAATAACAACTCTACACAATGTGTTTGATTATGTTATGGGCAATTGCCTAAAAATCCATGCAATAAAGACTAAAAAATAGATGGAGGAGGACAAGTTACCTAAAGAATCATATAATAATTTTTTTTCTTTTTTCGGGCGGCAATTACCACCCACCCCCGGGCCTTAAGGTGGATCCGCCCATGAACGTGGATAAAAAAGCCCTATATTAATGAGCTTGCATATCAATAGCTTCATGAACATGGGAAACACTTGTAGAGTGCTTTCTTCATCTTTTTGAGGAGGGTAGCAATAATTTTATTTTGTATAACACGATAAAGCAGTACCAAACGAGAACTTGGGGGATTTGTGGAATTTATAAGAAGTTAATGGTAGATATGTGATATTGGATCATGTAGTGTTTGGTGGGAAGCAACTTGGAGAACAAAACATATGCTATGGAGTCTATATATTCTTCATTCAAGCTGCAGTTTTAGTGAGGGTAGTGGATTCTACTTCTAGAGTATAAAGCTATTTTCTTAAGTCAGAGAATTTCTGAGGATGCTGGAGGTTGACACCCGGACGTCCAAATGCCATGACATGTTAGTTTAGATTCTGTGGAATTTGTTCCACTTCTCAAATGGTTAGCCACAAGTTCTTTATCTGGAGAAAGAAATTCATTTAACTGACCCAAAGTCTTTCTTCTGGTTAGTTGGCAGGATTGTTTTCTTAAGCAGATATATCTGAAGGGCTTCCATTTATATGGCTATCAAATTCTTAATATTTTTTACTTGTAGAGGTATGAACTGCTGAGCTATCAGATTATTCAGAATTATGCTTCTCAAGGGGCTAGCAGGGTGTTCATTCATGTTAACCTGTTGTGTTTAGGTTCGACCGAAATACGAGCTGATCTACATGACTGGCTGGAGTGTTTTTTTTTTTTGTTTGGGACATTTAGGTTAATTAAGACAAATTTATATACACAACACATATGCAAGACTTGAACTCAAGATCTCTTGATTGATAGCCAAAGCTCTCAACCAACAGATAAAAATGATATGCATATGGCTGGAGTGTTTTTTTGTTGTTGTTGTTGAAAAAACCCCATGAAAGAGGCCTACGCGTTATTGAACACAAGTAATAGCTCCTGCATACATATCTTTAATGATTTGAATATAAGCATTATTGACTCCTTTCTTTTCAAGAACTCTCCATAGCACTAGTAATAGCTCCTGCATACATTTCTATAAGCATGATTTGAAATAGGCTCGATGTCATTATGTTAATAAAAAATGGCTTGGTGGTACTAATTACAAAAATAATTGAAAACCAAATAAAAAATAGCTAGTAGAATCTCTGAAGCCACCAACAAGCAGTTTCTGCATCCTACAAAGCAATTCCTGCAAAAAATAAAGAGGCATAGAAGGACAAAAACAAGCAAGCATAAAAAAAAAGTCTACAAGACATCCACCACACCACCAGAACCATCATAATCCAACGGAGAACAAATACCTTAAGTCGAGCCAAAAAGAAAAAAAAAAAAAAATCTCAGCATCCATCCAACTAATCAGAAGAAGATTACGTCTTCCTCGATCTGACTGGAGTGTTAATTCATGTTAACATGTTAGGTTTAGGTTTGACTGGAAAATGATTTGATCTTGATAGTCAACTAGAATCCGACGAATTATTAGTCGGGTTGACAATTTAAACAAAATCTGACCATCAAACCCAAATTTGATCTAACTTGACACAAAGAGACAATTGAATCACAACAAGGTTACTATGAACATGATATGAAATACTTGCTTACTCAATTTGTACACATAAATTTATGGAGAATTCATTTATCCGTGATTATGTATACTCTTTATCTATATCCGGACACAAATTATCATGATAACAGTTTGATCAAATGGTTTTCTATTATAAAGTCAGCTTTCTTCTGATGCTTTTTGACATCCTTGCTTACATAATACATATTACAAAATTTTCATATATTTACATATTTAATATTTAAAATTTTATATTTACTTTTGTATCATTTGAATTTATAAATCATATTAAAATATATAGATGAAAAATATGATTTGTTTGAAATAAGTTAATATTAATGATATTTTTATATAATTTAGATATATGAGTAAAAATTTAGGTGTTAAATATTTACATAATTAATTTCTTTATTGCTTTTTAAAACTGTTATGGTAAAAATAATTTTATAAAATTATTGTAAAAAGTAAATTTTTTAGTAATTTTTTTTAAAAGTTGTTAAAAAGTTAGGATAAAATAAAAATTATAATTATGATGTGAAATCAACAGTAAGAAAAATTATCTCAAATTGAAAAAGAATTGAATTTTTAGGACGGCCATATCTTGAAAAAGATGTTTTTTTTTAAACAAAGTATTTCATTAAATATAAAAAAGGATTACACGAAGCAAAGAAGCAAAAATTTTAGGAAACAAAAGAAAATAAAAGCAAAATTCAGTCCTAAGCGCTCAGTAATTGGTCGAGGCTTCCAGCTTTCCGAAAGAGAAGCTCAAACCATCTAATTTGGTGATGCAAAACACGAAGTAGGCAATCCAACCGAACAAAAGACGACCACCAAAGATTGCCATGAGCCAAGCCAACGAAAAAGTGAGCCCCAGCCACATCATAGCCTGGCAAGCCAACCGAATAAAAAAAATCTGATCACCACTAAATTAACCCGTGCAATAAGCCATCAGGAAAGAAAAATAAAACAAATGCCAACTGAAAAAGATGTTGAGTAGCAGTTATATTGTATTTGACTAATAAGCAAATAAAAATATAAATATATAAAAACTTTGCATGTCTAATCTTATTTAATTTTTTGTTGTAAAAAGTGAATATTTCTTAATAGGGGAATGTTAGGCTGAATGGCTGAATCTATTAGGCTGGAATCCACCATAGAACACAGAATCTGTTATATAGTTTTTGCTGAGATGGCCCACCAACAAATACAGAAAGCTATTCACTGAAAGCAGTGAACATATTCCCTGCATATCAAGTGTTTGATTCCGTGGATATCACAGCATTTAGTGCTAAGTCCACCATAATTACAAAGCTAAATGTTGATTGCGAAATTAAACCTATTAATTAAGCAGAAACCATGATTTTCATCATCAGTAGCTTTATCTCAAGCATTTTGGCTCATTTTTTAATCTTTTAATGAGTTCTTAAGATTTGTTTGAGACGGCTGTAGCTTTTTTTAAAGTGCTTGTGTAACTATTATGAATATTATAAATATGATTTTTTTTAAAATAATCAAACTATTATTTTTTAAAACTATCACACATTAGTAATTCAGACAATAAAAAAGAGCTTCTTACACAAATGATTTTGAAAAATAACCAAAAAGCAGTAGCAAACGGAATTATAGTTGTAATCTTAAAAGTAAAGGTTTGAGGAAGTTGTTTCAAATAAACCCTAGCTCTTTATTTATGTTTTCTTTTGATTGCTCGGCTGTGGGTTTGTCTTCCGGTTGTTTGTTTTAGTTCTTGGTCTTCTCATGCCTTTTTTCCTTTGGGATTGTTTTTGGTTGTCTTTGCTTATTTTGTTATGTTCTTATTCTTTTTTGGAAGTTGTTTCTTCTTGCAGGTGTTAGTGCAGTCTTGTCGTGACTTCTGTGATGCTGATGTGTTTTTGGTAGTCTCTGTTCTCCCTGCGGGTGTTTCTGTGTTTGGCTGGCTCTTGCCTCTTTGTTTGTTTTCTTGCTTTTTTTATTATTATATGTAATAGATGGATTATAAGCTCTTAGTTTTTTCTTTAAATGATGTATTTTTAGAGGACTCTTGGTCCTTTTAAGGATTTGCATATTTTAATTTAAATCAAAGCGTAGGCCCTTTCATGAATTTTATCAAAAAAAAAAAAAGGATGTTAATTCATCGTAAACATTTTTTTTTAATTTCCTTACAAGTTATTTTTTATATATTTTTTCTCTTAGTTTGTTTCACTTTAATTTTATCAATTTATTATAGGAAATGCATTTTCTACTATTGATTGTATATTTTCCTCTATTTACAATCTTTCTAATACAATTTATTTTCACTCTAATGTTTTTAATTTTTAAAATTACATATCCTAACTAATAATATATAACATCCCAATGAAATTATCTTAATTAAGGAGGAGTGAATGTTCAAAAACCTTAGAAAGAATCAATCAAGTGGTTTGTTTTTTTGGCTTTAACATAGAATATTTATGCTTATGTCATAAGCCACCTTGCTTTTTAGTTGTTCTTATCCAATGTGATTGCTGTTCTCTTGAGGATTAAGTGGATAATATAAAATGATTATGGTGTTATCTCATTACAAAGTTCTCTCTCTTGCTTCTTTACCTAATTGAAGGAAGGCCAAGGTTTCACTTTCAAGCTTCAACCTTTAGTTAATTATTGATTAATTAGAAATTAAATGATACTGATTGTGGTTAATTTGCTTGCTAACATCTTAACATTGTGACTATTTACATCTAATTAAAATTTAAAATAAATGTTGTTAAGAGATGTCAGTAAACTATGACAGCATTTAGTAAATTGTTGACTAAATAATTTTAAATAATTGTAATAGAGATAAATTTGTATTGTCTAATGTATTATATATATAAAAATATAGTGTTATAATTATTGTGTGTTTAATAAAGAACAATTTAAGAAGTTTGTTTCATGGCTTTTTCTTTTTTTCTTTTTGTGTGAGCACGCACACCGTTAATAAGTTGTGAGTATACATCGAGAAAATGTTTCGTGAAAATGACTAATTAATATTTATGTTAGGACCTCGAAGAAGATATTATCATAGAATTTTTTTGAGAGTGAAAAATAATTTATTTTACTCTTTGGAGGAACTATAGAATTTTGTTATTTCAGTTAGTTTGTGATAGGGAAATTGGTCATATTGCCATCATGGTTCTTTGTTTATACTTTTATATTTATAGCTTGGATGACAATGGCTTTTGATTGAGGGCATTATGGTCTATCCTATTAAAGGATAGTGATTCAAGCCATATCACTATCTAGAATTGGTTGCATCATTTTAATTTA